CAATCTATATATATATATATATATATCGAAAACCTACTTATAAACAAAAAAGAAGTCTTTCTAGTGTTGGTTCAACCTTGCTTTCGCAACTTAGTCGGAGCGTCAGGGAGACCTTGTGGAACGTACCTAGTCCCGTGTCCCCTGCCAGAATATTCATGATTTCCAGCATTGGACCCTTGGCTTGGTACATTCTCAAACGTTTCGCCGGCATCGCAGACGGCATCGTAAGCACAGAGGTACAGCGTATCAAAGGGACAAGTGACGTTTGAGAATGTACTCAGCCAATGGTCCAATGCTGGAAATCATGAATAGTATGGCAGAGGACACAAGACTAGGTACGTTCCACAAGGTATCCCTGACTCTCCGACCAAGTTGCGGAAACAAGGTCGAACCAAAACTATGAAGCTAAAAAAGACTGTGACCGAGGAGAAGGCCACACCATTTTGGTCCTCATATCTACGAGTTAATAAGACTTTCTTTCTGCTTGTATGAATTTGTTCATTTATCTTTATACTCGTGTTTGTGTATATATACATGTGTATGTGTGCGCCGATCTGTCTGATAGTATCTTCACCTGCCCTTTTCAGCAGTTTTCTCATGCAGATTTGAGAATTGTTTTCAAGTATCGCACATATTGCAAAACCTATATAGTTTTGCCATCCCGAGTAAGTCGAGAGAAGACGAGACCAGGGCATGGACATCCTTGACTGACCACGTCTGTGTGTTGGGAATGAGTTGCCTCCTTGACTGTTGGCTGTTGTCAAGACAATATCATCAATACTAAGCTCGAAAAATGTCGGTATGTATCTCTGACTTTGTGAAGTTTGTAAGGGCGCAGAATATTTAGCGGAAACTATTCGAGCTCAGTCAGATCACAAAATACGTACTAAACGGATTGAGGTTAGTCTCACTGTACCAGTGATGCTTGTCTCCAGCATCGAAGAGGAAGCGTCACAACACTATTTTATCTGTATTGAGTAGGCTTTTGAGCTCTGACAAAACACTCATCTTCTTTTAGTACTCTTCGCGTTCAAGGCACGGTACATCGCCGATCCTGTGGACTCACATGCAGGCTTATTGCCAGCTTGCACAGCCCTGACAGTAGAAAGTGATACAGTTTTGATTATTACATTATTGCCTAATGCGTTGTTGCTCAGCCTTATTGTATATGCGTATTCTCTTTTCTCCTATTCCTCCACACATTTCTCTTCCTACGAGCCTGCGGCCCCGCGATGTTGGCCAACTTCCATCTCCAGATGGGGCCTTAGCTCCATCTCTGGGCAACTGAGCTGGCATCGATACAGCCCAATCAGTTGGACTCACCAGTAAACTGCATACAGTGCAGTTTGTTATGGCTGATGTGGAGTTGTCATCATGCAATCCAGTGTCGTTGCGATGCCGATCTTCTAGTTCTAGCAACCGCATGCAGTCATCGGTTTCTGGTGAGTACAGATGACACTCTTAGCTGGCTTTAAGGTGTTTTTCAACAATCCGTTCTCAGGCCATATACTATCTACATGTTTGCTCCCGGATATAAGAATATTTTTACAGTTTCTTCTGTCACAGTCTCCTCTCGCTGCAAAGTCTTGGCTGGACCCTGCTTTCCTATCCTTGTAATGCTTTCAAGAGACATTTAGATAATATTCTCGATTCTGCACTTTTTGCCTAGGATTTCACCCTCGTATTAACCAGTAACATTTATGAGGTGAGCAATAAATGTTACTTAAAATGAGGTAAATTAACACTATTTCTTTTTAGGTAATAAGGAGACTCGTTGTTAAATTGTCTCACAATGCTATGAATAGACCTTACATTTCCATTCACTTTTACACAGCCTCACTTTCCCAAAAGGTGTTCACATTCATGCAGGAGTGGATTGCAGTTTTGACCTCGTGTATGTGCTATAAACACCCCCATCGGGACTCGAACCATGAAAATTCAGCACGCAATCCCGGCACGATAACCAGTACGCCACAATATGGCGAGGGCCCTTGATTCACAGGGCAGGTGCAAATTTCAAGGAAAGCCATGCATTTTCCCATATCGCATTCTGCATTGGGATTGTCGATGAAGTAATGTTATATTTAGTAGAATTTTCCCACAATGATATGAGTTGAGCTGAAGTTTCCATTGAATTTCACATTGCCTTGTTTCCCAAAGTTGTTCTCATCCCGGCTTAAGTAAACTGCAGTTTCGACCTCGCATCGGTCTTATCAACGCCCTCAGCGGGAGTCGAACTGCGACAGTGCAGGACGGTAGCTTGACACGCCAACTACTCGGCTACCCTGCCACTAGTACCCTTGAGTCAGAGAACATAACTGAATTTCAAGGAAGGTCAGGCCTCTTTG